CAATTTAAACTATTTGGCTTAAATTATACCTATTCTGCATGAACTCTTCCAACAAAATAATCTTCATCCTTCATCAAGAACTGCTTTTGTTATGACTAGCAGCCCAGTGGCTGGACATGTGTACCACACCCGAGTATGGTTTTACGCCGCTCTTAGCGACATTCAAGTAGTATCACGGCGGGGGACCTCAGAAATGGGCTTCAAACTTTGTACCCGTGTGGGAAATCGAACCCAGAGTTTCGTCGTGACAAGCGAACGCTTTAACCACAAGGCTATCCCATGGTCCCAGCTCATATACGTGTAGGTCTGTAGCTAGGCGGACCATTCATGGATATTAGATGGGGGTATCATTTGTCCTCCGGTAACGCCGAACAACTTGCCTTCAGAAACACACTCCAACCCTACACTCATAAATTCTACACCCACCAGCTTGACACATAATTTGGACAAACAATCTACACACACAAATACTACATACAAACCCGTCCACCATCTCTACACACACAAGGTCTATATACACTAAGTCTACACACTTTTTTGAATGGCATTATTTAGAAGTTATATACGGACAATATTTATAGATGAACAACTTGAACAGCCCGAATAAAGAAGTTGTTCATCCATAAATTTGTCCGTATATAAATCTGCACACATCAAGTCAACACACAACACACACACTACAAACAAACCATCTCTACCCTATACACACCACCTCTAAACTTTAAAAACAAGAAGTTTACAAACACTACCTCTATACACGACAGCCCTATGGACACTACTTCTTTACGAACCACCTATACACACATCAACACTACACACCTCAACTCCATTGACACTACATCTTTACAAACCGCATCTATATACATCAACTCTACACACATCAACTCCATGGACACTACATCTTTACAGGGGCGGTGGGGTAGCCTAGTGGTTAAAGCGTTGGCTCGTCACGCCGAAGACACGGGTTCGATTCCCCACATGGGTACAATGTGTGAAGCCCATTTCTGGTGTCCCCCGCCGTGATGTTGCTGGAATATTGCTCAAAGCGGCGTAAAACCAAAACTCAGTCAGTACATCTTTACATATCAACTCTTCACACATCAACTCTATACACATCAACTCCTTGGACACTACATCTTTAAAACCAACTCTACACACATCAACTCTTTGAACACTACATCTTTACACACCGCCATAAACACGTCAACTCCTTGGACACTACATCTTTACACACCAACTCTACACACATCAACTCCTTGAACACTACATCTTTACACACCAACTCTATACACATCAACTATACACACATCAACTCTATACACATCAGCTCTATACACATCAGCTCTATACACATCAGCTCTATACACATCAGCTCTATACACATCAACTCTATACACATCAACTCTATGCACATCAACTCTATACACGTCAGGTCTATACACATCAACTCTATGCACATCATCTGTATACACATCAACTCTACACACGTCTATGATATACCTCTACACACATAATTCTATCTGAAAACTAGTAATACCTCTGTGGTGATTTTAGCAAGTGTTTAGCCAATTTCTATACTCGTTGACACCAAGTAAATATTGATCAGACATTCTCGTGACATTAATCGTTCATATTATCTTAACAGTGTATGTCATGATCAAATGGACTCATTGTTTACGTCGCCATGCCTCAACCACTATGTACAGGACAAGGAACATTTAATTAAGGTTTATCAATAAAGCCGTAAACATTCTTAACAGAAGTAGAAGTAATCGCTGTCACCTAGGAACCGCGATGATACTATGTACATATTTCATGAGCAGTTTCTTCATAATAAGGTTCAGTTCATCACCTTTGTCCTACCTAAATCGATGAAAATATCTATTTGCCGATTTGTTGAAGGACAAAGCGAAATACAGAGACATACCCTTGTGGGATATAATGATTAAATGACAGTATGGTGTATCTTCGATGGATAGAACGTTGGAGGGACGTTTCTGGCGTGTATGTATTGGGCGTAACCGACGTAAAAAGGCAAAGGTATGTGTGTGTACATGTGTCGTGGCGTATTTTATTACCCACGTGGTCAACGTATTGGTAGGTGCATACTAATCTCGTACGTCACACGAGTGTCGTATCGCGCTGACCTGTGTCGTAACGACTTGACCTGAGATTCTAACGATTTGATTAGATAACCGATGACCTCTCAGTTAGATCACGTTGTGACGGAACTACTTGTTCATTCATAACAAACACGTGAATTTATTCATTCTACAACTTAGATGCATTGTGGGAATGTAAACATTGCGAACGTTGCCGTGTCGCTGTTTAATTGTGAGTCGAACTAAGACATTATATCCGTCGAAAAAACATAAACGCAATGTTTTCACCAGTGATGTTAGCCGAGTGAAGCAGATCCAAACCAAGAAACGGGGTGCTACGAAGTAGTTTACTGTAGGAGGCTGTACGAGAGGCGATGACAACTGACATGCATCGTGACGTCGGTTACCAAGGGGACAGACGAGAATGGTGTAGTGACGTCATTACAGTGTGACGTCATGCAAAAGTGTACTTCAGAACAAAATTCTTCCGCAACCTCTTTATGAAACCGGTTTCGGTTTGAAACAATAACAATAGCGAAAATACGCTATTTTGTCAATTCAATGCATGTAAGACGTGGGTTATAAATAAAATACCACACGAGGTCTCATAACATACGAATTATACGAAACTCGTGACCTTCCTATGGTTTCTGACCTCCCTTACACAAGTTTCGTATAATTCGTATGTAATGAGACCTCGTGTAGTATTCTCTATTTACGTGCCAGTTGGGACATATCGGACGTGTGAGTGAGTGAGTGTGAATTTTCCAACAATAACATGCTGGGAGACACCAGAATGGGCATTACACATTGTGAACCGAACCCCGGTCTTCGGCGTGACGAGCGAACGCTTTAACCACTAGGCTACCCCACCGCCAACAATAGAGGAACATATGTCCCACGCAAATGTCGTGTCCTTACCGCTGTATCAGAGTATTTCATCATTACGTTTCAACGTTTCTGAAAGGGCAATGTCCTCATCGTATCCCTACATCTAAAAAGACTGTCCAGAATATGCAGGATGATAATGTTATTGAGACATCAATAAAGTCATACACCATTAAATCAAAATGTCTTACAACAATCAGAGTGACAACATCCGACTATATATCAAGTCAAGGAAATGACATCATAATGAATGGGTGGACGGAATGATTGATAAAACAGTCCTTTAAAGACTTTAGATATAATGTTGTTTCGAAAATGTTCTCAAAGGGATCAGGGAACATAAACAAACATCGAGGGTACATCAACCCATGTTCCCCTCGTGACCAGTGAACAACGTATTCATCTTACCGAACACCTCGTTAATTTTGAATTGTTTGAAGCACGGGTACAAAACTGTTTGTGGCTATCGCTAGATTTTGCAGACAAAAAAAGAAAGATTTAAAGTTATCTCCCTTCCATCGATTTGCATTCGCAAAACATCGGTAATTTCCGTACATCAAACGTGATTCAATGTTATTCGAGATAAAGACTTACCTACCACGAAGAACCAAATGAGTTGCCATTGTCAGCGGGGTACATTGAAATGTTCCTCGTTTGTAAGCGGAGTACATTGAAAGTAATAGAAGAGGGCTTAGCCAATCAGAAAACGAAAGTTATATGTGAGGTAAGATAATAAAGGCTATAGAGACGCTTACTGAACGCTTACATGTCAAGTCAAGTACATGTTTTAATTTTTTTTCTGAAATGTTTGCAAACTTTATCTTCGTGGTGATTTCCACAGTGCACAGGCTGAACATGAACTTTTAAGATTATTTTTCTGTTCACATATTTTGTTAAATTTAATTGGAGTATTGTGCTGTATTTGTGCTGAGAGTATTTGCACATTGATTGCAACAGTTTGATACCTGCACTACAATTTCCAGGTGAGCAAGTGACATTTTGTTTGTATACATATATACATGAACTAGTTTACGATATAAAGATTTCGATATATCGATTAAACGTCCGTTCCCATCTTATAAAGTTATAATAATAATAGTCCATTTATCATAGGCATTGCTCCGTGCAATGCAATGCATGCTCGAAGCGCCCAAACAATCTGATTATTATTACCCCGGAAAACTCAAGCTGCCTGTAAGGCGCTAGAGGGTTATAGATACATGACCTATCCCACCGGGTACCTATTTCTGCTGGGTGAACAGAGGCAATTTTGAACAAATGCACTTGCCTAAGGTGAGACCACATGTATCATATGTGCTTCGTTGTGGCACAGGACTGAAGTCCTAGACACTCTCAGGAGCAAAGCTGCCAAACACGGTCACCCATCCAAGACTCTCCGCACCCGACGTTGCTTAACTTCACCTGATTTGCGATCTGAGCTCTACGCACCACTTTTCCAAGTTCCATGTTCCTTTTCCACCCTCATCACGTAAAATACCACTTGGTATGTTCTACTTTTACAATCGTGGTGGGGTAACCCAGTGGTTAAAATGTTCGCTCATCACGCCTAAACTCAGTGTTCATTTTCCCACATGGGTACAATGTGTGGGGTCCACTTCTGGTGTCCCCCGCCATGATATTGCTGGAATGTTGCTAAAAGCGGCGTAAAACCATACCCATTCTACATTAAGAGTACCTCATGTTTGATGTTCTCCATCATCTGTTGACACTCTGCAAGAAGGTCCTCCCACTTGTCTGCAGTGTAGCTGGTGGCGTGGGAACACGTACAGACAAACGTTCGCGACGCTTGGGTATTCTTCGTAAGAGCTTCTTGACTTAATAATTCTCCCTCACAGTAACGTTGTAGAGTCAGAACGTTGTAGACGGTAACAACACTCACAATCAGATACGTCTTGTTCTCGAAGCTATCCCTGTGTGAAACTTCTCTTATAACACAATGATGTTGTAGGCAGCAGCCAATTATATAAAGAAAAGTAAGAATGATTTCGATGTCAGTTTTAATCATTAGTCATATTGATCTGATTTTCACGCATGCAATCAATATAGTGGCTCTAATGTGAAAATGTGCAATACTTGTAAAATGGCTGAAATGAAATAAATATTTTAAAAAATATAGTGGCTCTCTAATAATTGAGATCAGGGGTACACATATATTAATTGAAATGAATGAATCATTTCCAAAGCAAGTTTATTAAAACTACTTATTGCATGACAAATTTGAAGGAAATCATTTGAGTAAACATTGTGTGGTTTCAGTAGGTGTTGAAGTAAAACTGTTTTGGACATCACATGCTAATTGGTTGCATTTACACATAAACATACATGGAAATGAATTTACTTGCACACCATTCTATTTGAAAGCAAATTGGTCAAACGTTTTAGCATAAAACATGTACAGTGGTTTATAACACCGGCAATGAGCTACCAGAAAGCATAACAAGGCCACCTCGATAGGAACAAAGGGGGCTTCCTGCAGTGTACCTAGGCAGAATGTTCTTCATCGTTTTCGTCTCTGATTATATTACAATACAGACAAAATACATATGGTAATGTTGACATCCATGATAATTGCATATATCACAATAAACTGCAAAGATGATATGGGGATACTGACATCCTTGATAAGTGAATATATATCAATACTCTACAAGGGTGATATGGTGATACTGATATCCCTGATAAGTGAATATATCACAATACTCTACAAGGGTGATATGGGGATACTGACATCCTTGATAAGTGAATATATCACAATACTCTACAAGGATGATATGGTGGTACTGACATCCTTGATAAGTGCATATATCACAATAAACTGCAAGGATGATATGGGGATACCGACATCCTTGATAAGTGAATATATCACAATACTCTACAAGGGTGATATGGGGATACTGACATCCCTGATAAGTGAATATATCAAAATACTCTACAAGGACGATATGATGATACTGATATCCTTGATAAGTGAATATATCAAAATACTCTACAAGAAAGATATGATGATTCTGATATTCTGAATAAGTGACTATATCACAATACCCTGCAAAGATGATATGGTGATACTGATATCCTTGATAAGTGAATATATCACAATACTCTGCAAGGATGATATGGTAATTCTGATATCCTTGACAAGTGAATATATCACAATACTCTGCAAGGATGATATGCGGATACTGATATCCTTGATAAGTGAATATATCAAAATACTCTACAAGAAAGATATTATGATACTGATATCCTTGATAAGTGACTATATCACAATACTCTGCAAAGATGATATGGTGATACTGATATCCTTGATAAGTGAATATATCACAATACTCTACAAGAAAGATATTATGATACTGATATCCGTTATAAGTGACTATATCACAATACTCTGCAAGGATGATATGGTGATACTGATATCCTTGACAAGTGAATATATCACAATGCTCTGCAAGGATGATATGCGTATACTTATATCCTTGACAAGTGACTATATCACAATACAGTGCAAGGATGATATGGTGATACCGACATCCTTGATAAGTGAATATATCACAATACAGTGCAAGGATGATATGGGGATACTGACATCCTTGACAAGTGAATATATCACAATACCCTGCAAGGATGATATGCGGATAGTGACATCCTTGATAAGTAAATATATCACAATACACTGCAAGGATGATATGGGGATACTGACATCCTTGATAAGTGAATACATCACAATACAGTGCAGGGATGATATGGTGATACCGACATCCTTGATAAGTGAATACATCACAATACAGTGCAGGGATGATATGGTGATACCGACATCCTTGATAAGTGAATATGTCACAATACAGTGCAAGGATGATATGGTGATACCGACATCCTTGATAAGTGAATATGTCACAATACAGTGCGAGGATGATATGGGGATACTGACATCCTTGATAAGTGAATATATCACAATTCTCTGCAAAGACGATATGATGATACTGATGTCCTTGATAAGTGAATATATCACAACATGGTATAACACGCAAGGTATAACACGCACATTGGCTGAGCGGATGTTGTCTTTACATGGAACAATGCCAGGGTGTAACACAGGGCACAGTGGGTGAGCGGTTCTTGTCTTCACACGGAGCAATGTCAGGGTGTAACACACGGCACAATGGGTGAGCGGATCTTGTCTTCACACAGGACAATGTCAGGGTGTAACACAGGGCACAGTGGGTGAGCGGTTCTTGTCTTCACACGGGACAATGTCAGGGTGTAACACACGGCACAGCGGGTGAGCGGATCTTGTCTTCACACGGGACAATGTCAGGGTGTAACACACGGCACAGTGGGTGAGCGGTTCTTGTCTTCACACAGAGCAATGTCAGGGTGTAACACACGGTACAATGGGTGAGCGGATCTTGTCTTCACACAGGACAATGTCAGGGTGTAACACAGGGCACAGTGGGTGAGCGGTTCTTGTCTTCACACGGAGCAATGTCCGGGTGTAACACACGGCACAGTGGGTGACGGTATCTTGTCTTCACACGGGACAATGTCAGGGTGTAACACACGGCATAAGGAGTGGCGGTATCTTGTGTTCACATAGAACAATGTCAGGGTGTTACACTCGGCACAGTGCGTGACGGTATCTTGTGTTCACATAGAACAATGTCAGGGTGTAACACTCGGCACAGTGGGTGACGGTATCTTGTCTTCACATAGAACAATGTCAGGGTGTAACACACGGCACAGTGGATGACGGTATCTTGTGTTCACATAGAACAATGTCAGGGTGTAACACACGGCACAGTGGGTGAGCGTATCTTGTGTTCACATAGAACAATGTCAGTGGGTGACGGGTGTAACACTCGGCACAGTGGGTGACGGTATCTTGTGTTCACATAGAACAATGTCAGGGTGTAACACACGGCACAGTGGGTGAGCGTATCTTGTGTTCACATAGAACAATGTCAGGGTGTAACACACGGCACAGTGGGTGAGCGTATCTTGTGTTCACATAGAACAATGTCAGGGTGTAACACACGGCACAGTGGGTGACGGTATCTTGTGTTCACATAGAACAATGTCAGGGTGTAACACACGGCACAGTGGATGACGGTATCTTGTGAACAATGTCAGGTGTCAACACACGGCACAGTGGGTGAGCGTATCTTGTGTTCCCACATGACAATGTCAGGGTGTAACACAGAATATAATGGACTGCATCTGGTAAATGTAACGTTATGTGTGTCATAAGTAGAGATACTACGTTGTTCATATGACTATTATGTTGCTTTCACATGTACCAGTAAATGACATACAAAAGAAAATCCCAGATGTTTACCATGAGACTCATAGAATCATAGTTGTCAGGTTTGGTTAGGGCACCCTAATGAACTACATATTAGTTTACATCAATGATAGATAATCAGGAAAAGTTCAAAATCCTTTCTTTAAATTGTAGAGGCCTAAATAATAATTTTAAAGAAAACAAGTATTTAGATTCCTAAGAAAAATGAAAGCACAGATGTTTTGCTTTCAAGATGTACATTTTACAAAAGAACAGGAACAATTAATTAAACAACAATGGGGTTATAATGAATGTTACTTTAGCCATTATAAAAGCAATGCCAGAGGGACTGCCATCCTCTTTAATAATGATTTTCAGTTTGACATTCTACAGATTGTAATAGACAAGAAGGAAGGTAAGTATGTTGCTTTAAAACTAAAACTAAATTAAATTGTATACTCACTAGTGAATTTATACGGACCAAATACTGACGATCCAGATTTCTATAAACATATTAAAACAGCTGTTTGGAATATGGAAAGTGAGAAGACAATAATCAGTGGAGACTGGAACCTAGTATTAGATACTGAGAAGGATACATATAATTATAAGCATATAAATAATCCTAAAGCTAGAACTGAACTTATCGAGATAATTGATTTGTTAGACTTAAAGGACCCATGGCGTGACATTCATCCTAACGAAAGACGGTTTACTTGGCGACAACCAACTCCTTTAAAGCAATCTCGTTTAGATTTCTTTTTGATCTCTCATAATCTAATGCACTCAGTCTCGGACACAGATATTATTCCAAGTATTAATTCTGACCAATCAATAATATCTATTAGAATCAATTCGGCACAACTGGAAAGAGGTAAAGGATTTTGGAAATTTAATAACTCATTATTGCACGATGCAGAATTCATTAGAATGGTTAAGGAAACAATAAGAGCTACTTTACAGAAATATGAAATCTCTAATCAGGAAGAGGAAGGTTTGAAGTATGAAATAAATAACCAATTATTGTGGGAAATGTTGCTACTTGAAATTAGAGGTATGACTATATTTTACTCATCAACAAGAAGAAAAAGAGAAATAAACATGAAACAGAACTTGAGGGTAAATTACAAGATTAGAAATTGAACTAGATACAGAGGAAAATATGACTGAAAAGGAGAATATATTGAATAAGTTAAATGAAATAAAAATAGAATTAGAAACAATAAATAAGGAGAAAAACCAATAAAGAAGTTGATTTCAAAACTTGTAAGAAACGATGGCTCTGTAATAAATAGCAAAGTTATATTCTAGAAGAAACAAAACGGTTTTACCAAAAGTTATACTCCAGGGAATAATGCACAGAAATTGATCTAGAGCATCTGTTTTCCGAGACAGATGTTCCAAAATTATCTCCTAAGGAATCATGAAATCTAGAAGGTAAAATAACGTACGAAGAATGTCTGATGGCACTGAAAAAATGAAAAGTGAAAAATCACCAGGACCTGATGGGTTCACTACTGAATTTTTACAATTCTTTTGGAATGATCTAAACTCTAAACTTATTTAATTAATTCCTTGAACTATTCTTATGAGCATGGTTCCTTATCTGTAACCAAGAAACAAGGGTTAATTACATGTTTGCCTAAAGCAAATAAGCCTAAACAACTTCTCAAATTCTGTCGTCCTATTAGTCTATTAAATACCTCATATAATGTTGCATCTGCAGTAATCGCTAATAGAATTAAACCAGTACTACCAACAGTCATTAATGAAAACCAAAATGGATTTTTCACAGGTAGATATATAGGGGAGGTTACTAGATTTATTTATGATATTATGGATTATACTGAAACATTATAGGTCCCTGGATTGCTATTATTAATAGATTTTGAGAAGTCTTTTGACTCAATCGATAGAAATTTTATTATGAATGTACTCACTTTCTTTAATTTTGGACCAAGTATACAAAAATGGATTTCAATTTTCCTACATGATATAGAATCATGTGTCCTCGCAAATGGTTTCGGAAGCTCTTTTTTCATGATTACAAGAGAATGGAGACAAGGGGATCCGGTCTCGCCCTATCTATTCATCTTATGTATAGAAATGTTTGCAATTATGATAAGAAAAGATAAGAAGATAAAGGGTATCAAGATGGGAAATATTGAAAATATTCTAGCTCAGTTTGCATACGATACTTCGCTAACACTAGAGATGGTACTGAAAAGAGTGTCTATGCAGTGCTTACTGTTTTAACTGTTTTTGCAAGGTTTTCTGGACTTAAAGTTAATACTGAAAAGACAAGACTAATATAGATCGGATCAAAAAAAAGATCAAGGTACAAGCTTTGCAAGGAGTATAATCTAGATTGGTCACAATTACAGTTTAATCTACTAGGTATCAAATTTAATGTTGATCTAGAATCTATGGTAGACATTAATTATTCTGACAAGCTTGGAAAAATTGAGAGAGAGATGAAAACTTGGGAATTAAGATTGTTAACACCTATGGGAAAAAATGTGCTGAAATCACTACTACTGTCAAAATTGAATCAAGCCCACCTGATGATACGATTCAATCTTTTCAGAAGAAATGCTTTAACTTTATTTGGAAAGGCAAGAAGAATAAAATTAAAAGAAAGGTTAAGACTACCATTGTTGAATATGGAGGTTTCAATATTCCAAAAGTAAATATATTTTGACAACTAATAATCACTTGCATAAGATTGAATACATTGATTCACCTATGTGTCCGTTTTGTAAACAGGTGCCTGAGAGTGTTATACACTTATTATGTGACTGTACCCATTCAAGCAAAGTGTGGAAAGAAATGGCTAAATGGTTAGAAAGGTTGGCTGAAGGATACATTGATTTAACACCAGAAAATACTATTTTGGGTTTTAAGGGGATAAATTATAATCTACTTAATGCCATTTGTCTCAAGGTAAAACAATATAGTTACAATATGAGCAGAAAAGGAGAAAACATAATTTTAAAAGCATCCAAAAAGAAATAGTAGGTTACTATCAAGCATGTAAATTCATTGCCTTTATAAACAACAATCAGTCCAATTGTTTTACATTTTGATCCTCTTTCCACACGCTATTTTTAGACTTGTAGCTTAATATTTAATTGTAAACCATAAAGAGTGTAGTTTAATGTTACAATGATTTGCCTTGCAGGTGATTAGAAACAGTCAAACATATAGTTGACGTTTTCATACACTGTACTTTGTATACTTATGTATAGGGAAACATCTGTTGAGAAATAACGGGTAATGTTAAATGACTTTTACCTTGCATGTTACCAGAGGTAGTCAAACATACACAAGTTGTAATTCGTATACAATACGAAACAACATTATGTACCGATGCCTACTTATGTAGTTATGCCCACTTATCTAAATGTAATATCTGCAAAGAAAGAATGGTCAATGTAACACCGACTAAGGTCCTATGCCAAACCTGTAAATATTATTTATTTATGTATGTCTTGTATATGTGAATATCTATTCATCATTATAATGTCATGTAAACATGCACTGGGAAATAAAAACGTGAAAATAAAAACAAAAAAAACAAAACACGTTGTTCATATGTGTATCAGACCATGGCTACCATGACTCGTGTAATATACCGACCGGCGAAGTCGACTTCAAGCACAGTCATATAGTCAAAGGTTTCACGGACCGGCGGAATGTTCTTCAGGGCCGGCTCTTGCCTTTATTTCTAAGGCACATTGACAGGACCGTCAAACAACCTGATATATGGTCATCCTCCACGGTCCTCCACACATCTTGGTGTTGTCCCCTGCACAGGGATAGTTGCACTCGTTGTCGGACACATTCATGTAGCCACTCTTGATCAGGTTTCCGCAGTAACATTCCGTTCCCACCTTTAAAACAAAACATGCGACTAACATATTCCCGCAGCTCTTTTCTTCGCATTGGACTTTGTTATTTTCTAATTCAATTTTGTTTTGTTTATTTCAATTGCATTATGGTATTTTCTGGTTTGTAGTTCATATTAAACCAACTGAGAACCTTACATGTACGTCCATATAGCCTTTACTGCAGATTTGTAACATACAAATTAGTCGTTCTATATTCTAATGCACAGTCCGGTGCAGTTTCTGTAATACGGAATGATATACTTTTGTATAGCTTAAATTATATCCTTTCGTAGACATGAGTTGAAGAATATGGCAATGTGAAGTGTTTGAGAAAACAGCTGGAACAGTTGTTTCAAACACACAGATGGTTTGCATGGGTATATGGAAATGAATTGATAAGAGTAAAATATATGGGAAGTGAAACTGATGTTAAAAATTAAATGCATAAAGAAGGACATAGGATTCAAAAGTTTGCTATGTACTAAGTAAGTAAGTATAATCCCCCTCCCACCTATATCAATAACGGATGTACCAAAATGACATTATAAGTTAAGCTGGCTACTTGCCAGGTAGGACGGGGTGATACGAAGTCAAACGGGACGTACCATCCCATACCACCTGCCAACTCATCATATTTTGCACACCTGCCCACTGTCTCGCATTTGGCGTGAACGTCACTCATTTTAATACAAAATCACGCTCTCAAGACCACACAATAAAAGCTCATGCAAATCTAAAATTTATCATTTACCTCTATTCACCGGTCTCTACAAATGTCCAAAAAGTGCTGAATTGTTTTGGGGCTTGGGAGCCACACACACTCACGCACGCACGCACGCACGCTCGCGACACACATACACACACACAGACACCACCCGAGACCCCCTGCCAGGACGCTATCCTGGACCTGTCCAGGCTTTGAGAAAATCCCACCCATTCGAAACATATTAGGTTGTCAGCAAATGGCCGAGTCACGAATTTATCACCCTTTGTTATTTTAGGTGCCAAAATGTTACAATACAGATATTCTTGAAACGTTGTTCTTGGTTATTAACCAATGAAAGGTATTTTCATATACCTAAAGGGTAATGTAACATATTATTATACCGCTCAAAGCAAAGTACCCCTCAGTTCTGAAATACAGCCCTTAATACCTACCTCAAGTCCCAAGAAGGAGTATCCATACTGGGTACAGTGAAATCGACACATGTCAATCGTCATAGTGCGGTTTAGCATGTGTTCATGAGGAAGGACACGATTTTCGTCATCCTGGTAGCAACCTCTATATACAGGACCTCTATGGTAAACGTAATACATCAACCTCTATATACAGGACCTACATGCTAAACGTAATACACCAACCTCTATATACAGGACCTACATGGTAAACGTAATACATCCACCTCTATATACAGGACCTATATGGTAAACGTAATACATCAACCTCTATATACAGTAGCTACATGGTAAACGTAATACATCAACCTCTATATACAGGACCTACGTGGTAAACGTAATACATCAACCTCTATATACAGGACCTACATGGTGAACGTAATACATGTACACTTATCAGCCCCAGTACATACAGGACCTACAAGACAACCATCAGACATTACTGGTTCACACAGCAGCCCTTATATAACAGAAAGTACATTCGTGGTGCTTTTGGTTTACTTGCCAAAAGGCGACGTAATGTTTAAAGAAATTTATACACCACAGATATTGTGCCCAACTGCAAAGTTGCCAGTCAAAATCACGGCACTTTTCAAATAATCCCAAAACACCAGGTGTGTACTTTCTTTTGACCTACATGACAAACATTAGACATTACTGGTTTATACAACATACGATATTATAGCACCACAAGCACTAGACATTACTGGCTCACATAGCAGTCCCTGTAAACAGGACCTACCAGACAAACATTCCTGGCTCACATAGCAGTCCCTGTAAACAGGACCTACCCGACAAACATTACTGGCTCACATACCAGCCCTGCAAACAGGACCTACTAGACAAACTTTACTGGCTCGCATAGCAGCCCCTGCAAACAGGGCCCACCAGACAAACATTACTGGCTCACATAGCAGCCCCTGTAAACAGGACCTACCAGACAAACTTTACTGGCTCACATGGCAGCCCCTGTAAACAGGACCTACATGACAAACATAACAGCCTCACATAGCAGCCCCTGTAAACAGGACCTACCCGACAAACGTTACTGGCTCACATAGCAGCCCCTGTAAACAGGACCTACCAGACAAACATTACTGGTTCACATGGCAGCCCCGGTAAACAGGACCTACCAGACAAACATAACAGCCTCACATAGCAGCCCCTGTAAACAGGACCTACCCGACAAACATTACTTGCTCACATAGCAGCCCCTGTAAACAGGACCTACCAGACAAACATTACTGGCTCACATAGCAGCCCCTGTAAACAGGACCTACCAGACAAACATAACAGCCTCACATAGCAGCCCCTGTAAACAGGACCTACCAGACAAACATTACTTGCTCACATTTCAGCCCCTGTAAACAGGACCTACCAGACAAACATTACTCGCTCACATGGCAGCCCCTGTAAACATGACCTACATGACAAACATTACTCGCTCACATGGCAGCCCCTGTAAACAGGACCTACCAGACAAACATTACTGGCTCACATAGCAGCCCCTGTAAACAAGACCTACCAGACAAACATTACTGGCTCACACAGCTGCCCCTGGAAACAGGACCTGCCAGACAAACATTACTGGCTCACACAGCAGCCCCTGTAAAAAGGACCTACCAGACAAACATTACTGGCTCACATAGCAGCCCCTGTAAACAGAACCTACCAGACAAACATTACTGGCTCACATACGTGTATGTGTGTGGTCTTGTGCATGGAGCTTAGGTCACAAATCAGGTGAATTTAAGCAATGTTGGGCGCGGAGAGTACTTGGATGGGTGACCGTGTGTGACAGCTTGACTCCTGAGAGTTTTCAGGACTTCAGTCCTGCCCACAACGAATCACATGCGAAACATGTGGTCTCACGTTAGGTGCATTACATACGTAATGTGCTGAGTCTAGATTACAGGGAAGAGGGGCAGGAGCTTCATGGATACACCCATTACCTGTGGTGGTCGGAGTAGTTATCTCCTCTGCAGGCGTGGTTGTCTCTTGTGCGTTTTCTGACATGATCTGCAAAATTTGTTACACGAATTCATAAGGATATATTTATAAAACTTGTTATGAAACTCTCAGACATGTTGATAGAGTCGACCTTTTCGTATCAACATGAGCAGTGTATGATTTGTAAAATCTAGAAAGTATACCTTTCGTTTCTTCTAACATAGAACATGAGTAAGTTAATGGCCAAACTTATTGTTGCTTGGTATGATCAGTAATAAGTTTACAAGCGAATGATGGCTTCTAGTTTTTATTATCTTCTGGATATTAAAATACAGAACTTCCGTTCACTTCAGCCATTATTCTGAAACTGATCATGACGGTATAGTCTAAAACTTATAACTGATGAAACGAAAGCAGTTATGTTCCCGGATTAGTGAGGTGTCGCTTTTCGCCAATGCATTTGGCTAAACAGGGACCTTAGAAGATAACACATAAAGGAAGCTAGCATGCTTGGAGTCAGAAACGTTTTTTTCCCAATAGCTTTAAATTAGGCTCTGTGGATAGTCAACTTCCAAGTGATAATTTCCTTGATAGCGGTGTTAGCACCAATACCGGAACGTCGCACTCATTGCAATAATGAAGCTGACTATCCATAGAACTTGGTTTTCCTTTCATCTTTAAAACTTCTAAAAGGCTTCTCTAAGATACACCCACTGCAACAATGACTTGACAGCGCAACATACAATTGGTTGTTTGGTTTATTGTTTAACGCTGCAATCCTTCCAGCTATATGGCGGCGGTCTGTAAATAGTCGAGTCTGGACCAGACAATCCAGTGATCAACAGCATGAGCATCCATCTACGCAATTGGGATACGATTATATATGTCAACCAAGTCAGCGAGCCTGACTAACCGATCCCCTTAGTCGCCTTTTACGACAAACATGGGTTACTGAAGACCAATTCTAACCCGGATCTTCACGGGTAAACATGCATGTAGGTGCAGTTCACTTTGCCATGACACAACAATATATACTGGTGTCATTCCGTGTACTCTCTCAGATTCTTCATGAGCAATTATCCCTTCGGTTTATTGGAGAGGGTCTGCAGGATCCGCTGTTGAGCCAAACCAAGAGAGGTTATCAGATGGTACTTATTGTTTCCCTGTCTGGCACTCGATATTAAAATGATACAACAAGGCCCAGGAGGCTCGTAAAGAGTAAACAGGTTCTGAGTCCGGTATGAAACACTAACGATCAATGTTAAACATAAAGTCAAAATACATGTTTTACTCTTAATCTGCAATGCTTGTAAACTTTACTCTTGCTAAATTTGCCAAAGTGCACGTGATGAACCTGAAATTTATATTTCTTATCATATTTTTGTTGAATTAACATGAAATTTATTGGTGTGCTCATTTCAGTCCTATTTGCACACCAGTGCTGACTGCAACTTTCGATATGTGACAGCCTCTGTCTGCATATTGAGGTACATTATCCAGGTGAGCTACATTATCCAGGTGAACTACGTTATCCAGGTGAGCTACATTATTCAGGTGTGCTACGTTATCCAGATGAGCCCAGGTGACCTACATTATCAAGGTGAGCTTATCCAGGTGAGCTACATTATCCAGGTGAGCTACATTATCCAGGTGAGCTACATTATCCAGGTGAGCTACATTATCCAGACGAGCTTCTGCTTATGTAATGTTAAATCCGGGACTAATTGTTCTTGACTCCCGAGACATAATTTCTAGGGCTGTGTATTGCCCCAAACTTTGTATTGCGATATATTGCGATACACTCTTCTGTATTGCGATACGTATTGCAATATATTGTGAAAGACCAGTTATTGAGATCTATCTACTTGGTAATATTCTTTTACCTTCAAATTGAATCGCAGTATATGTGATTAACCATTATGCATTGTATAGCTTCTTTCAAAGTGAATAGAAAGGAAAATCCAGAACATTCTTCTGTTTATATTTTTATATTACAACAGCAGGGATTGACACTCACTAAAAATTTTAACTGGCCCTCCGGGCTAGTGGATTTTGTATGTCACTAGTCCTTTCCAAAAATTATTAGCCCTTCGCTTTACTATAAACATAACTTTCAACAAATCTTTTTTTTTAATTATAACTGCTGTTCAAAGGAAACTTCACGCAGATACTAGTAAATGTATGATTTCTCATTTCATATATATGACAAATTCAACTGAAACTAGCTTACGCTATGTCCTCCATCGACCCACCCGTACTATTTATATACTTTGACTTCTGTAAACAGCAAAGGATGTTGAATTTCAAATAATTTAAAGAGTTAAAGAATTTACTGTATTACTCAAGAAAAATGTAATTGAAGTCACAATCATGTGACATGATCTTGAAGTGCACATTCTAATCAAACCGATGATTTATGCACCTTCATCTTTGAATAAAAGTATTATTAACATTACCTATTTCATGAATGATGTTTGGTACACATTCACATAAAGAAATGATTTAACAAAACAATCACGATGGGCAAAAGTCACTCTGTATCAGTTAGAGTACACTTTCTTTAGACTGAATAGAATAATGAAAAAAAAATGAAACATGAGAAACCTTATAAACCTTATAATAAGATAGAAGCCTACGTTTATCAAGGAAAATATCAGCTCGTGAAACATTATTGCTCTCTCATACACCATTTAAATTTTTTTGGTCTAATCCAACTGTTAATAAATTCTAAAGGTATGTTTATCATATTGTTCAAATAATACAACTTCAACTTAGATAAATTTATTTCTAATAGTAATACAAATTTACACATTTAAAATGTCTATATAAACCACCAACGAGACGTATTTTATTCCATTTTTAAGATGCCATAATATCCTCTTACCTATTTCTCTTATAATTTGATTTTTACGTAATCAGAAAATTATTATGTAAAGATTAATTAAATAATATGCATGGTCGCCCATTTCCCAATAACAGTGGCTTATCACCCCGTAACATGGGAAATGCTTCCGTTTTCCAATCTCCGTATGAACAACACTCTAGAAGATTCATTTGATCTCGTGTCTTGTTCCAAAGCTCTAATCATCAATACTATCACCGTTACCTTGCCAGGAGTATCTTCGCAGAGGTAAGAAGCGATTTTATTGGATAAAGATAGGTTCTAATG